ATCATTTTTTGTTGTTGTGGTTGAACTTTAATTTGCATTCTCTGTTTGATTTTGCTAAGGTTAATCACTTGTTGTTGTTGTTATCACTGCCGTATATTAACTTGATTTATGGCTGTGGTAAGTCTAAGGCAATCATCAAGAAAACTGAACTGAATACTCGATAGTTGGAGAGAAGAAAAAACAACAGCAAAAAATTTGAGAGAGTTTTGAAGGAATTTGTATTGAACAGTCAAACAAAAGATATTTCTATGCTACGTAATTACTAATTTAACGCTTGAGTTCATGAATGGAGAAATAATGCTTGGTTAGAGAGCGAGATACCCTGAATAGGGTATATAAAGGTTGCCGCAAAGTTTGTAACACCCAGAAGGAAACGTCGGAGACCCTTTAAAATTTATCTATAAATGATCAGCGTAACGAGCCCAGTCGATTTAGCCATGTCTATCGATCAAAATGAAGGTCTTGTATGTACAACTTTTTTATTTGTGAAGTGTATTACACCATATACTACGGTGGTACCGAAGCTAACATTTTTTCTATTTGTTATTTAAGGTTGAAGTTTTTAAGAGCATTTACGATATGAAAAAGCTTCTAGCAATACGTGTTCATTTTCTCAAAAAATGTGTTGTTTTTATAGAGTTAAAAAAACGTAAGGTTCAATTAAGTTAGCTTAGGCTAATAATTTAAAAAGCACATCATAAATTTATGTTTTAGTCTCTCCCATTAGAATTAGAACTCTCTCTTAAATTAGACGTAAGCTAGGATGACTATGCTTTTCCTGCAAATCGTGAAGACATGAGTTCCAATTATTATGCCATATACAAGTAGTTTGGCAAACTGAAATTTGTATATTTTTCTTCAAATAATCTGAGACCTAAGGCAAACGTGTGTAAGATATTATATAATTTTATATAATATATTATGAAAGTCTCATGTGGAGTGGAGAGAAATATTCTTTGATCAGTTATATCAATTACGAAAGTGCAATAGTGCTAAGCGACGTTTTTAATAATATACAAACCCGGTAGCTGTGGAGGTCAGAGAAAAAGTAGAAATATATCTCCACCGTATTGGAAATAGCATTGGAGTAGAAAGGAAAGTGCAAACTTATTGACTACTTGTGAATCGAAGACAGCTTTTGCGACCTTTTGTGTCGCAAATTCGCTTCGAAATGCTGTTTTAAACACACTTTTAATCGCGGAGCTATTTTTTATATGGATCATAAGGATGTTTCAGTTGCTACTTGATAATGACGGAATCGTTGGGAAATATAAGTCGTTGGAGTGTTGGAGACGCAGATATTTGCACCGTCGCGAGCTCCTATGAATAGTAAAAGAACTAGGGAGCTTCCTGTATTCATTTCTTTACAGTAACATAGCTTCCAACTGTTGATTGGTACGTACACTTGAGATAAAGTAAAAACTTGTGTTTATGACCACCGTCGAAGTCCTTTGAAAGATGGCGAAGTGGAAACTCATATCTTCATTTCATTATTGACTAACCAAGTTTACGTTAGATCTCACTTCTTTCACCAGCAGTTGGTAACAGAACAACCTGTTAGCGAAGCTAACCGCTTAAAAGTTTTTGAATGGGTCGCGCTAATTCATCGAAATGTTAAGGTTTTTCTGTTCAGGTAGTGCCTGCATAACAGAGAACATGACTGTAACTGTCCCGATCAATGAGAATTAACCACAAAACCTAAGCTAACCTAACGTTACAAACCAATAACAACCGCCAGTATGTCTATGTCGAACATCAAGAGGTCAAGATGTGGCCTACATGTTTCTATAATTTCAAGTATTTTGAGTTCTTCAGGTACCTAAAGTTAACCTCTTACAGTACCGTTTTCATTTGTCATTGAGGAAAGTGCATATGTTTCTGTTTTTACAATATTTGCAGTGCGTATTTGGCCAAGTGTTAGTAGCACAAGTATGTATGTAGCTCGAAGCTGTCATTGTCAAAGTTGTCAGTCGTATTTTTTATTGTCAATAGAAAGCAATCAACAATAGCAACAACACTTCTGCAAACTATCTAATTTTCCATCGAACACTCACTGCCAAAACCAAATAAGCCTAGTACCGACCATCCGGCAACAACAAATGAATGTGTGCTTCGTCGCATTTATGTTCGATGCGCGAGTGATGCGTTGATGTCGTGTTTAACGCGCATGCGTAAAGAAATTCATGTCGTCTCTAGGAACTCACATATATAAGTGAAGTGTATGTAAATGTGTGTCTGTTTGATTTTCACAGTAAACAAGCTACAAACGGTATAAGTGTTTGGCTGCCGGCACAGCAGTCATTCATGGAAAACGGCGCTTTTCCCTGTTGGCAATGTTTGTCAGCGTGTGTGTGTGTGAGTGTATGTGAGCGAATGCACTTGTGCACGCATGTGCTGACAAAGAAATCTATAACATGATAGCTCTGGTAGTTTATACCGCTAGTCTGCGCTTACTTACACGCTTGCCACAGTGCCGGCGTTTTCCGTGATGCTCAGTCATATATACAAGTATATATACATATATATTTATATATGTATCTACTGGCATTTATTTTTATACCCTGAACGAAGGAAGGAAGAAGAATGAACTATCGGACACCTTAAAAAATATATGTATATGTATAAATGATCAGCATGACGAGCTGAGTCGATTTAGCCATGCCCATCTACCTCTCTAACTAAGCTTAGTCCCTCAGTTTTTGAGATGGCGATCTGAAATTTTGCACACGTCGTTTTCACCCTAAGAAACTGCTCATTTGTCGAAACCGCCGATATCGCACCACCATAGCATGTAGCTGCCATACAAACTGACCGATCAAAATCAAGTTCTTGTGTGGAAACTTTTTATTTGTGAAGGGTATTATAGCTTTGGTGCAACTGAAGTTAATTTTTTTTCTTGTTTTTGTGTTTTTCTATAAAAATGTCGCAGCTTCCTACCTTATATGGTTAGGTGATATTTCAGTTGCTTTTTAAATACATAGATAGAAATTTACTCTCATATTGTTATAAATGCATTTCTCTAAGTGTATACGTACACACTATATGCAGCATGCAATCGTTGGTGGTTGTTGATGATGACGGATTGCTGCTCATCAGCAATAACCAACAATATCGCATCATCAACTGGTTTGTCTTGCTGATGAATTGTCGCAATACAAGCAGAAGAAATTCTACCAACAACTTTGCGGCTCGGGAAACCGTCAAGTCCATGGCCAGTAAAAGAAATTGCATAGCAAAAGCTAGTAGATAAAAAGTAAATAAAACCTTAAAAAGTGGACACCCAAGCCAGATATAGATTTACACAGAAATGTAGAGCTTTAAATTAATATATATATAGATATATATATGTGTTAGTGGCTAGCAATAGCACTTTTTTTTTATCTAAAAATATCACAAATCACTGACACGTTTTCTAGCCTTGAACTCATTCTTTAGTATGGCCCGTTATGGAACTGTCTCAGCCGCCTTGGTGCATCTACAAGAACAGGTGCCATCATTGTTTACTGGAAGTGATTGTGGGGAAAAAGCGAAAATGGTACACTTTTTCTTTGCGTGCCACAATTGAAGTTCTACCGTTAATTGACACTACATTTGTGCTTCGCAGTATGTGACTGGAGCAACCTATTATGGTCTTATGCAATTAGGCGCGTCTTCAGTGAATACGCGCACTTGGTAATTGGATCATTTGAAATCCGTTGGATCCGTTGCGGATCTCTTAATTGTGAATGCTTACGCATAATTATGGTTGATTGGTCTGATTTGATATTGACAAGTTCTCTATGTAGGAATTGATATAAACAGAGAGACATAACAGATATGGCAAGCGGATATTGCATCTGTAGGTATTTTTTGTTAAATGGTATGTGTTTTACATGTTCGGCTAGCTGGCATCCTGCGGGTAGTAAATACCAAAGCTCTTAAACGGTATTATTGAGAGGACGACGGGTTAGTGAGATACTTTTAAAAATAATAGTAAACAATATATATAGGTTATCGATTCAAATTGGCGACTTTGGGTTCCAAAGCCGGGATAAAATGTTTCAGAGATGAGGAAAAGCTTCTAGAAGTATTATTTTTATCGGATAACCACCTATTGTCTTCCAAGTTTTTGGGCGTACTAACAAAAATAGGGCTCCAAATGTTTAAAGGTTTTTACTCTCAGATATTTCCTTTGGCTGCCGGGGATGATTCTGTTCTGATATAGAGTGAGTGTACACCACTAAATACTATTGTATGAGTATATATTATTCTATATACAAATGGGAAGATTAAGACAAAAAAGGAGATTAAGACTAAAAGTCAGAGCCCAGATACTTTAAAGACCGAAATGGACGCCATGTGATTTTTTCTTCTCTCTCTCTGTTCGAGTCACGCGTCATGAATCAATAGAAGTCGTAAATAAATATTCGCAGAAGAAATTACAAGCCACTCTTTAAACACATAAATATTTCATAGAAAGTTTAACTCCAAAAAGTTATTCCAAAAAAAAAAAAAACACTTTAGATGAAAATTATGTGATAAAAATATAAAAATCTCCTTTCCTACCCCAATTTTCTGAGATATACTTGTAGTGTTCACTCTCTTACTCGTAATGCTTTCTCATGTTCGTTTAAAATGTTTTCTGTTTTTTACCTTGTGACAAGCCAAGCAGTTCTAGCTCTCATTAGAAGAATTTTTTCTTGGAAGTATTTGTCAATGACCTTCCAACCCTGTTGATATTGTGTGGAGCGAAAATAATAAATCTTTAAATTTTTTTTCTTTTTTCGAATAATATATTTAAAGGTTTCCTATTTCAAGTCACGCCTGAAATCTTCTAAACATTTCAGCCGCCTGAGACACTGAATATAAATGGAATACCTAAATTTATTTTTGAGAGCTTGAACTAAATACTTGTAATCTTTATAAGCATTGCAGATACAAACGTATATTTAAATAGAGATATTTTTTTCTACTTTCAACAATCTGGTCACTGATTTCTTTTAATATTTGAAACATTGTAGATCACGCTTGCAGATGATGTCGACGTAGTCAAAGCCATCACTGGCACAGAGGAAATATCCGAGCATGACAACGAGGTGGATCAGGTGGCGCTGGAATCGGAATCGGAGCCACAGCAACCGCCAAAAGTGCTATATCAGCACAACATTCAACAACAACAACCAGGACCAGGACCAGCACGAAGTAAGTTCGGTTATGATCTCAGTAAAAAAAAAAAACAATATTGAAATATTCATTTAACTGCAACTTTAGGCAATCATCAGAGCATTCCACTCAGCCTGGGACAACCTTTCGGCCCACCGCCACCACCAGCACAGTTGGCCTACCAAGGCCCACCGCCGCCACTACCACCACAACGGCCGCCACCACAGCAAGTGCATGCGCAACAAGTGCTGCCCGATTTGAGCGTTGGCGCCTCAAGCAATAACGAGATCTGGTCGTCGCCCGTGCAGGACATGCCGAAAATAATCTCACTGGATGTAAAGTGCGAAAAGAACGGCATGAAAGTATTTGTGAAATTCGATAAACCATTCTATGGCATTGTCTTCTCAAAAGGACACTACAGTAATATGAATTGCGTGCATTTGCCGTCGGGACTAGGACGCACTTCGGCCACTTTCGATATTGGTCTGCATGAGTGCGGTACATCTGGAAATACTGAAAATGGTTTGTACGGTTATGGACATGAATCTGGTTCGGGTACCTACTTTGAGAATATTATTGTCATACAATACGATCCACAAGTGCAGGAGGTGTGGGATCAAGCGCGTAAGCTACGTTGCACATGGCACGATCAGTATGAGAAAAGCGTGACCTTCCGGCCATTCCCCGTGGATATGTTGGATGTGGTGCGCGCAGATTTTGCTGGCGATAATGTAGGCTGTTGGATGCAGATTCAAGTTGGTAAAGGACCATGGGCCTCAGAGGTTTCTGGTTTGGTGAAGATCGGACAAACTATGACTATGGTGTTGGCTATCAAGGATGACGATTCCAAATTCGATATGCTTGTGCGAAATTGTGTGGCTCACGATGGCAAACGTGCCCCTATACAATTGGTCGACCAACGTGGTTGTGTCACACGACCGAAATTAATGTCGCGCTTTACAAAAATTAAGAATTTCGGCGCATCAGCGTCTGTGCTCTCCTACGCACACTTCCAAGCATTCAAATTCCCCGACTCCATGGAGGTACACTTCCAGTGCACAATACAAATCTGTCGCTATCAATGTCCCGATCAATGTTCAGAGCCCAATCTGCAAGAAGTGCATCATCTACAAGTCGGACCAGAGTCACAATATGGCCCACCACCGCCACAATTGCACGTCGACACTTATCATGTAAGCAGTGGCATCGGCAAGCGGCGTGACGAGCGACGTGTACAACGTCGTACACGTGCCGTCGATTCTGAACCAGAAGTAGGTCTGAATCGTATCATTAAGGTCGTCTCTTCGGGTGATCTCACCTTTGCCATTGACGATCAGGCGAATGGCACAACCGCAGCCACACCACAAACAATGGTCTTTCCAGCACGCGAAGATGGTCTAATTTGTATGACGACGCCTGGTTTCGCGATCACATTGATTATACTACTAGGTATACTCGTAACTTCCTGTCTAATATCAGCCGTACTCTATGTACGTTTGCGGCCGTTCTCCTCCTTTGCTCATTCGGAGAAAGAGCGTGCTGTGGCTTATACGAACCCACAATTAGCTGGCGCTATGCCCGTCATACAAATACCAGGACCACCAAGTATCAGTCAAGGTACTTTGACGAAGTCACGAACGCATACATGAACGACAAACGGTGAAAAAAAACAGGCGAACATAATGAAATACGAATTGGACTCGGCATAACGAGGTGTCTTTATCACACACATACACTTACTAATGCGCGCGAACAGCATAGCTATATTTAGTTCCGATCCGATGCGAACTGAATGTGCGCTGCATCGACTGGGCTTTATACAACACATTCACAACAGTCTTCTTTCGTTTGCAAAGGCCTCTGGGGCAGTTTGTTAGTTAAGATATGAAAATGTGGTCTTCGGACCACAACACATAACACATAGGGTAATGTAATTTTAGTTTTTAACTACATACATATTTATTTTTCAACGCTTTTACAAAGTTTAATGGAGTTATTCGACGGTTCAAAAGTAACGAATCCGAATATTTGTTGTTAAAATTGATAATATTTCGACGAGCCTTTCGAGTCTGTTTGGGCCTTCTGTATTGGTGGCAGTCTAGCGCGTACAATTTTAGTGTTTATAAGCAATATAGAAATGAAGTTTAGTTTTTAGCGATTCTTAAGTAATGTATTGAGTTGAAGAACATAAAGATATGTACAATAAACAAAATCCGGTGCTAAGCCATATTCAAAGTTCAAATGCATCCAAGTGACCTTTGTACAAAGGCTATATTGATTCATAATACGCCAAGCATATGCTCTGTAGTAGTGCTATCTATAAATCGGTAGTAGAATAAATGGTATATATGTTCAAAATTACGGTTAATTGTTTGAATTAAAATTCAGCTCGACTAACGTAAATTTTAATGAATTCAGCAAGACACTAAAATATATATAGACAAATTCAGCGCCTTGAAATGTATTCAGCGCATTTTAAACATGCAAACATGATCACTATTAAATCTAATTCAGCTCACTTTTAATTAATTTAACATCATGCACATTGTGTATTAGAATGTTAGTTATCATTTTCTATCCATAGATTGATAGTAGCATATATGGTATATGTATTAAAAATTACGGCTAATTGTCAGAATAGTAATTCAGCGTGACTACCGTTAATTTGATTGAATTCAGCAAGACATTACCATATATATAGACAAATTCAGCGCTTTAAAATTTATATTGCGTATTAAACATAAAAGATGTAAATAACGCTACACTATTTATGTAATTAGCGTTGCTAAAATGAATTCAGCTCATTTTTAATCAATCGAACAGCATACAAATTATATATAAATAAGTTTAGCCTAAAATTTCAGTTATTCGGCGCATATATAGTTTAAAAAAATAATTTCTTAATTAATTTACATAGCTAAAAAACACATTCAGCCAAAAAATTTTGCATAAGGTTCAGCTGCAACAAATTCAGCACATATCTCCACTACTCAGACTATAATTGTTAATTGAAATAGTTTTTATTTGGTTGCTTTTCAACGTCGGTTTTAGCCCAATGGTATATAATAGAGTTCGATTATTTTTGTCTTAATTCAGCTATTCAGCACTGTTACGAAATTTGAAAATGTTATATATATTTATATTTTTTAATGTAGAAACATATTTTTTTGATTGTGTCATGCCGATGAATGCAAAAAATTAATTCAGCTAAATGCCTTTGGTGCAGTTTTTTATAAAATTTCTGCTTTGTACTTGGTACTCGTACAACATCATTTACCTCTTTTATATAATGCTTTACTTTGCCTACTATATTGTTTTTATAGACTTTTATATAGAAAAAAGAAAAAATATATAAATAAAATACCGTTAAATTAAAGAAAACAAAATAAGAAATAGTAACCACACAACAAAAAACAAAACAAAGTTATTAAATAATGTAATTAAAGTTTAAAAGCAAGCTTGAATTAGTCACTAAATATTTTAAGTGCGTTCATTAGTTGTAAGTATTAAAAATATTATAAAAAATAAAAAATAAATAACGGATATAAAAATAGACTTAATTATAAAATAAAAAAAAAACAATTATTAATTTATATATATAATGCTTATTTTAAAACTAAAAAAATACTTTCTAATAATTTTCTTGTTATTTCTTCGACTGAACACCTTTTGCAAACGTTAATTATCAGCAACTAGTTAAATTTATGTTAAAATATTTATTAACATATTTAATTGATAATTTATTATTTATTTATTAATACGAGATAATGCTTCTGAAATATTGAATGTACAATGTTTATCATAAATATTTTTTATTTATTTACATACATGCATATTTATTTGTATTCTTGACAGAAAATTTAATAAATATTTTCCGTATAAAAATATGTCGAATTTGTTTTATTTGTTGCAATAAATTTAGTACAAAAAAAAACGAAAAAATTAAGTTTTTTAGAAGTTTTATTTGTTATCTCATCTTCTGAAGTTTAGGAATGATTTTAGTTCGAAGAGCGCTACGTGCTGATTTTAATGTGTAAGTATTTATGTATGTAAGATTTAAAATATTTTCACATAACCTCAAAATTTATCTGAAAATTAAAACAACCAAGTTTTTGGTTTTTTATTTTTATCTTTTACAAAAAAACTTTTTTTAAACGAAATTTGGTGTAAACATACCTTTATTTAAAACTATTGGGTTTTCTCCTTATTTTGACTTAATGTTGAACCCTAATTTTCAATCAAAAATTCTCGAGTCAATATATCAGATTTTTTTTAAATGTCAGTAAGCTTTATGTTCGTTGAGATCTCTACTTTCTGATGGTACAAACAGGAAAAAAAACGGTAACTTCGGTTGCAGCGAGGCTATAATACCCTTTACAAATAAATAATAATATTATTTATATGTCATTCATTCATTTAACTATTTTAATAAAATGAAAAATTTAAATATTTTATTAATACATATTAGATATTTATAATATGATGTACATATAATATGTACATTACACATATTTATAATGTGTAGATAATACAGTTATAAGCTTGTAAAAAATAATATGAGCTCACCTCCGTTTGGCCTAAAAGTATACATCAGCTTTCATCTTGAAATGCATTACTACATTATCGCATGTGGGTAAAACAGTTCTTCCTCTCACTTACTCCTGTTAGCTGTTCTTCCACTTGCTTCGGCGAAGTTTTAATTTTGTAAAATAACACTAAACACACACTTCTTCTACAAAATTGTTCTTTGATTTTAATAAAACCAAACTTAAATTTTCGATTTCACTATAAAACATTTTATTTACACAATTTTTTCCAGAGAAATTTACGATTTAATTACTCGGCTCTTCAAAGCAGTTTATTCGTGCGCACGAATAAAAGGAACTGTCGGAAGATGATTAGTATGACGCCGGATATATGATTAATCACAGATTTGCACTATTATTGCATAATATTAGTTAGCACTATGAACTATTTGTGAAGTAAAATAGTAAAAATATTTAAAGCAAATAATTAAATAATATAAATTTCATATAATGTATAATTTAATTAAAATACTTAAATTCTGAATTTAATTAGATGCAAATTTTTTACATTTATCTGTAAATTTAATAATTAAGAATACCAATTTCCATTTATTTGTTTTTAATTATGAAAAATGCTATTTTATTATACTGAATTTGAAATATTCAATGTACAACAGCAACCCTGACTTTGCTTGTCAAATTTCCGCTGACATTTTTATATTTCTTTGTGCCTGTTTCCTCTTCCTTATGTTCAAATTATTGTTGTTTGTCAACAGTGGAAATTGAAAATGTGAATTATATTGTAAAAGCAATTTTATTGGAATAGGTGTATTTTAGTATTAAATTATAAGTCTATTGAGTATTCTTTGAAATATCTTAAGATTTGAGCGATCATTGTTATTGATTTGTTATTGTCAGCAAGAATGTGGATAAAACAGTGTTTCTAGAGTATAGTGCAGATTTCGGTAATTAATTTTTGTTAACAAAAACTGAACAAGTTTTTATTCATTTAGAAGTTTTCAGCCCAAAGGTATAACACAGTTTTCATATTGAATTTCAATTATTCCTGCATTAACGGCGAATTTAATTTATGTGGGTAAAACAGGGTTTTTACATATTTGCTTCAGCTAGCTTTTCTTCTGCATTCACAGTTTTATTTTTGTATAATAACACTCAACACACACTATTTCCACAAACTTTGTATATGAATTCGATAACATAATACTTAAACTTTTGATTTCACTGTAAAATGATTTATTTATAAAAACTATATTAAAGAACTTTACAATTGAAATACACGGCACTTAAACGCAACTTATTCTCGCGCACGAATAAACGGAACTGATGGAAGATGATTAATATGGCGGCGGACATTTGGCTACACAGAGAGTTGCATTCATGATGAAAGTATTTAATTAATAGTATTCACAAATAATAGTATATATATCTTATAACCACAATTTTGTTGAATTAATTATAATTATCTGATTTAATTTGGAAAGATTGTATTCAAAAAATTAGAAACAATAAAATTTTTAAATTAAAATTTTAATACAAAAAAGGAGTCTACAAATTCAAAATTTAATCTTCAAATGTTTTCCTTTAAACTTACAATTTTCGAAAATGAATATTTACTAATAACAAGTGTTTCATATGCACTTACATACCTACATATGTTAGGCTATAGTAGTCCGATATCAGCGGATCCGATAAATGAGCAGCTATTTGGGGAGAATAAAATGTTTACATAAGTACATATGAGCGATATCTTAAAAATTGAGGGACTAGTTCGCATATATGTATGTATATAGACAGACGGACCTGACTAAATGAACTCAGCTCGTCACGCTGATCATTTATACATAAATTTTTTGGGTCCCCGACGTTTCCTTTTACGGCAAACTTTTTATACCCTGAACAGTATATGTATAAATATGTAAAAAAATCAAATTTTTGCTTTGTACTAAATGAGTAGAGCTCATCTAATACTTTAGTGTTTAATAGTTAAATTACTACAAAATATTGTATTTATTTGCGTTGAAGTGTCGCGTAATTAAATCGTATATTGCTCTAAAGTGATTTGTGTAAAGAAAGTGTTTTGTAGTGAAATCAAAAGTGTAAATGGTGTTTTATCGAAATCATGTAAAAAGTTTGTGCGCAAAGTATTTCTTTAGTGGTATTTTGTGAAAATAAAAATGTGCAAGTGAAAGAAAAGCTAGTTGAAGCAAACAGGTAAAAACCCTAGTTTATCCATATAAAATGATTTGTCGTTAATGCAGAACATATGTGGAATTTAATTTGAAAAATGAGACATACTTTTGGGCATAAATCAGGTGAGTTTTTTGTATTATATGTACACACGCGTGCATATATACATACATATAATTTAAAATGTTTATTTGTAACCCTAAAAGATTTAGAACTTGTTATTATTTTAATCATAAAAATTACGTGAGTACGTAAATCTGCACCAAACTGGAATGACTTTTTGCATTCACATCCTTGCCGACAAGTCAAGTTTATTCAATGACCTCTATTTTCCATTGCAAAGCCAACTGCGCTGATTACGGCGTTTCAAATCTCACTTCTTTCAACTTATTTCAATATGATACCCACTGAGCTTTTGATTTATTACTAAAACACACATATTCCAATAATATTGTCATTATAATTCAAATATTCAATTTCCACTGTTGGCAAGCTACACGAATTTGCACATAAGGAAGAGGAAACAAATGCAAAGCAATTGAAATGTCACCGGAAGTTTGACAAACAAAGTCAGGGTTGCGGTAGTGTGAAGTAGGGGCAATAAAATATGGAAAAAAATCTGTACATATATCTACAAATATATATTTATATTATTATTTTTAATAAATTAACCACAACAATATTAAATCAAGTATTTAGTTTTTTATTTATATGTAATTTTATTTAGTGAATAAAATTTACACAGAAAAAATATCTACAAGTGAATACATACATATGTACATATGTTCATATTAGGGTGAGCCAAAATTTTACCTATCGAATTTATGGGTTTAAATGAATCTATGTATGTATATACAGAAAAAAAATACCCCTACAGGGTAATTTTTTTTGCTTATTATTACAATGGTGTGGAGAAGTATTCAAAGTTTTCCATATACAAATTTTAACATCGTGTTTTCTTGTAAAGCATAAGACCACAGAGGAATTTTTTACAATTAGTGTGCTTTAAATAAATTTTATTAAATTTAGAAATAAAGAAACAAATTAGTCCGAGCTTGGTCGTTTACCTAAATGTGCATATTTCAATTCAATTAAATTCAATATTTAAATAATTTAGTTAACTCAATTTTTATTTAAAATTATAGGCGTTATTTAGCAAAAAAATATATTGTAGATATATAATATTTTGGATATTTGTTAAAAATTGATATTTTGTTAAAATAAAGTACTGTTTGTAAAATAAACGCGCCGAGCAAAGCACAGCACAGCGTTAAGCTCTGCCGCTGCTTATAAAAAATTTGCCATAAAGATTTTATCAAAACGCGATCAAACGCTTTTGCTTCAGCGCATGTCAATTGGACCAGTGAAGGAAATGCAAAAAAGTGGCGTAAGATCCTTTGGCCCGATGAATCTAAAATAAATATGGTAGGAAAAGATTGGGTTCGACGTCCGAATAATTCTGAAATGAACTTCTGATACATGACAACAACACGGATGTGCATACATTTTTTATTCTATTTCATTGTCAGTAACTGTACATATACATATTTATATTATATATTATTAAATATTAGTTTTTTACTCAAAATTTAGTTCATACAATTAAATATAAGCCAGCATCATGACTGCAACTCTGTGGGTAATCAGATGTCCGCCGCCATACTAATCGTTGCGTGCCAGTGTGTTTTATTGTGCGAGAATAAGCTGCGTGCCGGATAATTAAATCGTGAATTTCATTAAAATTAGTTTTTGATAAAAAGTGTTTTATAAAGTAATCAATAGTTTAAGTAGTGTTCTATAAAAATCGTGAAAAAAGTGTGTGCGGAAAGTGTGAGTTTAGTGTTATTTTACAAAATTAAAACTTTGTCGAAGGAAGTAAAAGAAAAGAAAGCTAGATGAAGCGAGTGAGAAGAGCCACTATTTACTCACTTGAAATAAATCCTTTATTAATGCAGGCCTAAGTGAATTTCACAAAGCAAACTGTGTTACAAATAAAAATACCGTGACATATAATGAAACTAGCTAGGTGTCCGGTTATGAGGAATTTGTATTTGGCAAATGTGTTGTCAAGAAACGATGTTGAAGTGCTTCTATACATTTTTTATAGAATGCTCGAGCTTTTCAGTGCTTACTTAAATACTGTATCTCCGACATTTCCTTCTGGGTGTTACAAATTTCGTGGCAATTTGAATAAACCCTATTCAGGGTATAAAATCCCAAACGGTATTTAATATGTTTTAATCTGAAAATATATGTGCGTAAATCTCAATATCCATAATATTGTAAAGACATTTGCAAGGAAATGTACTCTGCTAATTTTTCGTCTTATGATCTAACAATAAAGTTAATTTAAAATAAAAAAGGACTTCATTTGTAATCTATGTGAATTCGAACTCTGATTTAAAGCAGCAGTGATATTTCTTGAAAATTTATTAAATACTTTGAAGTAATGGGCTTCGATAGTGGTATCTGGTCCAACTTTTTAACCCTTAATAGTTAACAATGAAAAGTTATAAATTTTTTCATTTCATTGTAAGACTATAAAAAAAAATTACTTTGTTGAAAAAAATTTTACCAGAACAGTGTCATGGGCGTCCTTTTCGTCTCAATTAAAAATGCATTATAATTTTATATTTATTTTATTATTATTTTTTATTTATTACTTAATTTAATTAATTTGTCCATTCTCGCCATAATCATAGTATTCAATTACAACTACAATAATTTTAAATAAATAATATAAACTGACTTAAGTATAAATTTAAATTTTCGTTTGTGTTGAACATTCATTAGTGTCGATTTATAAAAACCAAAAACAAAATAAAATGCAAAAACAAACGCAATTTTGACTTTTCAATTCACACTCTTCATTTTCGTTGCTAAAGTAAGATTTTGAATTTGAATCAAATAATAAAAATATTGCATAAAATTGTCTTAAGTTGCCGACTTGCAAAATAAGTAATAAGCTTAAATTAAAGGCGAAAATATGGAAATGAAATAATTTTAATTGAAAATCTGAAAAATGAACTTTTAAAAAATCCATTTATGAACATAAATATTATGAAGTGGATAGTTTTGGCTAAAAGATAAATAAATAAATTATATGACATTAAGTTATCTAATGTTTTAAAATAATAAAAATATCAAATAAATTAAATATTTTAGTTAAATTCACTAGTAAGTAAATGCACCTAAAAGCACCGATTTTTATTTTATTTTTATTTGAAATTTCGTTAAAAATAAACACAGTGCGTGTTAGGCAATATAAAGATATAGTCACTAATGGGGCTGTATAAATATTGTTGGTATGTGTGTAAATGTTGGCTTGTGGTAGTTTAGTGATTTGCTATTGCAGTGCTGCCCGAAAATGTGCTTTAAACACATTAACTTCTTCTTCAATTACATGTGTAAAAAGAAAATAGGAAAAGTACCAATAAATAGAGCTAAGAAATTGCTATTTTATTTTGAGCTTTTGAAAAGTTCTCATTGTGTGCGTGCTTTCAGTCGTTGACACATCGATACCAGCTATTGTCATCAGCGCATACAGCGCGTACAGGAAGCTTAATTTAAATATTTTATAGAATTTTTATTGATTTTTCAAAATATAGATGTTGAAGCACACTTCATTTAACTACTTCCGCTCTACCGAATACCTTCACCTCCACCCATCCACTTCTACTTCTACTGTACCGTGTCATGCGCAACCGCACTCGCAGCTGCCACAGCGCCACCGATTTGCTGTCGCTGTTGTTGCTCTTGCATGTGACGCATGCGGAAGAGACGTAAAGTCATCCATGAGGCGAAAGTACCAGGCGCCGGCATTGGCGTTTGCTTCTCGAGCGCCTCCTTTTGCAATTGATAGCGATAGAGCAGCGAGCCGGCGATTAATGCCGAAACAATGGTAGCCGAAATGACGACAATGAACAGTATGCTGAAGCCAGGTACCGGCATGCAGATGCCATAGACGACCTCTTCACTTATTTTACCCTGGAATACAGTGACCGCTTCCTGTTTGGAGTCTGGCGAGAAGGCAAGATCAGCTTCGGAGATTACATCGTAGAGACCGCTAACGCCAACATCTGCGCTACGCACCTTACGATCGGCAATCACGATCGATCGGCGACGACGGCGTGTGGATTTTTCGTGTTCGTCGTTGTCAGCGGTTTTATTTGCTTTTTGTTTCAACAATTCTTCGCTTGCATCGAGATCAATGTGATCTTCGCGCGTGAGTTTTAATGCTTCCGTTTGTGGGCGATAAATTGGATGTGGCGCATCGTTATTAGTTTTGGGCTCTAGCGAACGTGGTCCGGCCATGGGCACACCCATACGTTTTTGTGCTTCAAATTGTCGTGGTCCATGTGGAAATTTACCGCTCTTTTTCAATTCCATATATTGCGCCTCATCCAATTCGGCCAACTCATCTTCGCCGAATAACGAGTCGAGATCCGAATCTTCGGGTTCTTCATGTACGGGTCGCGGCGATAGGTTAGCATTCTTTTCGTGCATATTAAATTGATCCAATATGTTAGCTATGCCACTATTAATTGACGAAAGCTGTTTACGGTTGTGTATAATGTCATCGTAGAAAATATCATGATCGCCGGTACCATCGCCACCCATAGCAACACCCGCGCCTCCACCAACGCCACCTAAACCACCGCCGCCAACACCACCTAAAGGCATACCGCCTAGCGCTGGTTGCTGTCCACCATGCAAGCCACCATGCCCTATACTCTCTTGGCTGAGCTCATTCTGATTGCCCAGCGGATCGTTCATTAGCACATCTTTACGCTCGTTAACGCTGCCTGTGAGCTGACAATGATCCAGACAACCGTGGCGGCAGATTTCCACTTTGCATTTGATGTGTACACTCAACGCGTCGGGGAATTTAAAGGCGTGGAAGAAGGCATATGTTATGACGGTGGCACGCTCATCGGGCGCACGTGCCTTCAAAAAGCGTGAGATCATCTTCGGACGCAAAACGCAGCCAAATTCATCGGAAAGATTGATAACATGACCGGAACCATCGGAAGCGACGCACGACTTGACACGCATATCGAATTCGCCTAGACAAATCGGTGAAGAAAAATGAGACATTAGTTAAACTCAAAAGGAAGAATAGAGTATTACGTGATGGTGGAGAACTGAAGTTATTAACAGTTCTCTGTTCGTATAAGTGTTGAGTGAAGTAAAATGTATGCTATCTTAATGTGTACGAAGTAGAGAGAAAATTAATGTTAGAATAACTATTTTTGCAAGCACTTTAATAATTTTTAAATTTGTGATGAATATTTTCTTTCCACCGGGTCAGGACTATTTTCAATACCACATATCGTAAGAGTGATTTCTAATCTTACTCCAGGTTCCTTGACTTTAAATAAAAATTAAGGATCAAAAACTTGGTTACTTGAGTTTTTCACATAAATTTTGAGGTTATCTGAAAAATGTATTGACAAAGAAATTGAAGATTCTTATTACCTCCAACTTTGCTATTTTACTTTTTTCCATAGGATTCTTAGTTTTTCTGGAAAGAGATAAACCGTTTTAGGAACTCAGACCTGCCTTTTCCTACCTCTTCCTGACCTTAGATCGCTTGTAAACTATTGTCCCTTAATTTTTGTTATTTTATCTACCTTTTCAAATATGTTTATAATTTTTTTTGCTTCGAAAATTATTGACTCCAGTTTAATGGCTTTCTTAGGAATTCATAAAAAGCACAGTAATTAAAAGTCTCGGTATTATACACTAAACTGACGCTTCGAAAATTACTAGGGCACTAAGAGTATGTGGTGATGATGGGATGATTTTACAACCTAACTTAACAAAAGATATAATCACGCTCACCATGGAATGATGAACTATACCTAAAGTTTTGTTAAATTTTATTACTCACCATATAAAATATTCGTAATAGACCAAAGCGTAAAAGAAACAAACATATCATCGAGATAAGTTTAATTTCTAATAAAGTAGAAAATACCATGAAGTTGGTAAGGAAGGTATAGGATCGAGTGGAATCGAAAAAAATATATCTATTTGCCGGGAAATCAATCATAAAATTAGAAAAAAGGCGGAATACACAGATTACAACAATCTCCTTTCGTCCCGAAGTACCACAAGTGTAAGGAACTTTGAACTTATTTTGAGGGGACTAGTCACGGTTCACACAATTGCCACACTCATAACCGAATGCCAAAAATAAACCTTAAATGCGGTTGATATTCGTGGAAAATTTAATTTATTTTAAATATTTTTGAGAATATAATTTTCAAAGTGACGAACTTGATTAGTATTTAACGAAGATAACTTTTAGTGTCGAACACAATTAGAAATTTCTTAAGAAATTTGTCGTTGCACCTGAAATTAGTTTTTTCTTACGACTTTCCATTTCTTTCACCTTAATGCTCGTGTAACGTATAATTTTTTGCACAACAAGTCTAACGAACTCGAAAAACAAATCAAATTTCGGCATGCCGCATATCTTATCACCGGAAATTAGCATTGCCTTTAGGTTCAGCAGACAAAACACTAACTATGTAAATTTGAACTTGTCTCGTACTGCTACTGTTACTGATAACACAAACAATTATCTGTCAACATAAACTTGAGCAGCTACCAATCGCTATTTATAAGACCAATCATTGCCAGTTAGGTAAGTAACTCTTAGCTTAACCGCCAACCGGTGTAGGGTGAGATGAAGTTTGTCGTGTTGTTTATAATAAGCGTCTGCTTGGCAGAATGTTCGATATTCAATGTGAATGAATTAAGTGGTGAAAATTTGAATTATGGAGCTTTATCAACATACACGGCTTTAAAGGAATATGCTTCTAAATTGAACGGAAAGGAATTTGATGATAGAAATGATTGGTACTCGTTTCTACAAGCACAATATGGAAATAAGATATTTCCAACTGAAAATCAGAATGGAATTCTAACATCATATTTGGATTTTATACGACCGCAGTTCTCAGTTTCAGCCAGCAATGAAGTGCTTAAACCTGCTTTACCCAACGAAAATAATCTAAGCAGTTCCAACCTAGACGTTGAAAATTCACAAAATTCGTTTTCGGAATCTATGAATCTTCAACCGCAACAACTAAATCCGATTTCGGTTATTAATTTTCCACAATCACTGCTTGAAAATCCAATTACAACTGTAAATAATCAACCGCAACCACAAAATCCGTCTAATATAAATGCTTTTGCCCCACCACAATATCCAACAGCGAATATCCAGGATCCAGCGTCATCTCAATTGTCTTCTACCATTAAACTTCCTCAGCCGCCACCACAAAAACCCACTGCGAACGCCCAGCCTCCACCGTTCCCGGAATTATCTTCTACAAGTAAATTTCCTCAACCGCCACCACAAAACCCCACTGCGAGCGTCCAGCCTCCACCGTTCCCGGAATTATCTTCTACCATTAAACTTCCTCAGCCGCCACCACAAAAATCCACTGCGAACGTCCAGCCTCCACCGTTCCCGGAATTATCTTCAACCATTAAATTTCCTCGGCCGCCACCACAAAACCCCACTGCGAACGTCCAGCCTCCACCGTTCCCGGAATTATATTCAACCATTAAATTTCCTCAGCCGACACCACAAAAGCCCACTGCGAACGTCCAGCCTCCACCGTCCCCGGAATTATCTACTACCGTTAAACTTCCTCAGCCGCCACCACAAAAACCCACTGCGAACGTCCAGCCTCCACCGTTCCCGGAATTATCTTCAGCCATTAAATTTCCTCGGCCGCCACCACAAAACCTCACTGCAAACCTCCAGTATCGACCGGCCCCAGAATTATCTTCCACGATTAAATTTCCTCAACCACCTCCACAAATTCCAACAACGAATGTCCAGCTTCCATCCTCCCTTCAATTATCGCCTACTGTAAAACTGCCTCAGCCATCACTGTTGCAAAATCTGTCTACGAGCATACAGCTTCCAGCACCACCAACACCACAGTTATCCTCCACTATAACATTTCCTCAGCCGCCAAAAACTCAGAGTAACACTGTAAATCGTCCGGTACCTCCAACAAGCGTTGGACAAAACCGTCCAAGGCCACCGGTTTACGGAAGCCAGGGGCAGGGATTTCAGTTCCTATTATACTGACGTTGTTGGCCCTCCAGATTTCCCGTTTAGGAAATAAAAAAAATATTTAATTTTCGTTTGTTTACTTTTTATCTTTTCACTCAAAGGAATTATTCTATTAAAATTTTGCTCTTGAAGTTTTCTTAATCAAAATTATTTGATCTAAGCTATTCCTTAATTTAATTTAATTTGAAATGTCAATATCCAATTGTAGAAATATAATATTTATACTCTTCTTGTCTGAAACTTGATCCACATTTAACTCTCTTTCACTTCTAACATAAACATCTTAATACCTGGGTTATTTGCAGAAAACCACATAAAAGTACCGTGAAATTCACTCATTAATTATAGACAGCTCGGGGCGCCACGAACTTTGATGTGGCAAATCCAAGTATTTTAAAGCAGTAACTAAAGAAAAACATGTTAATAAGAAGATAACAGTGTAAACGAAATACGATCTTCATATTGTGGTTGCCGATGACGCGTTTAACATACGGTAGTCCATATGAATGGAAATGGAATGGAGGAAGGCACTAAACTCTATATCGCGTGATTCAAAAGAACAAATATTTGAAAACTTGTTGTAAGTGGGTTTACAGAAATGTACCATAGTGATTCACAAGATCACTTATAATTCTCACAAGTTTGAAAAATACTTTTATATTTTTACAATTTTGTGAACAACTGTTACCCGAATCGCACATCGCAACAATGTTTGATTAAAATGTTTGAACTTTCGACCTACCCTGTATAAAAATATTGGCATAGATGCGCAACTCATAACTCCCATAACTTACAAATTCAATATGCTTGTATAACTACTTACCGCGATAATCATTGATGGCAACCACAAGTGTAAGTGTAGAACCTAACGGCACAATACCGCTCACTGGCGGCGCCCACGGACCTTTACCATGCTGTATCTCCATCCAACAGTCAACATTATCGCCTATACGAAATAGATAGAAGTTGAATAAATGAAAAGTCGTGCAATAGCTTCTTATAACACTAAACATACTTTAGCTTTTAAAGAAAAAAGAAAAAGAAATCAATTTCATTTCAACTCACCGCGGAAGTCCAATTGTATTACATCCAAATCGGCAATGACCATTGGTGGTTTCGATGCGGTCTTCTCGTAGTCATTGAACCATTCACAGCGTAAACGTTTCGCTTCATCCCAAACTTCCAGTAAATCCTTGTCATATTGCACAACCACCTATTATGGAACAAGTAAATATGTTGTTGCAGTTGAGAAATTAAACAAATTCGAATTCGATTTTAGTATGGCCTTGTTTAGGAAAATACTTCATTTACAATTTTTGATAGTATTCGCTAGCTATTCAGAATTAAGTGTTAGCAACAAATATTTTCTTCTTCTTCCTTTTCAATTGCTAAGTGATACTGGCTAGATGGATGGAGTGTTTCCAGATATTATTCGCTTTTGAAAACCGCTATAAACCTTCATAAACCAAACAGTCAAATATATCACTACCTTTATGTTAAGCTTAGTTATGGGAGTCTTCTAATAACGATAATCTGGGAAAGGACTATTCGAACTCAGTCCAATGTTAAGTTGAGTTTAAATAAGTAGAGCTTTCTTGCAGGTGGTCTAATAACTAGGGTTGTGAACTGGATGAAATAATAGAACGTCTCGATCCAGCGGTTCGAAATGTAATTGCACTGGAACCTAGAAAGTTAATATTATCTCTAATAAAAATTGGTCAAAATTTACATCAAACGTTTTAAAGACGCAGTTAAGTTTTTGGTTTAAATCAATCTACTATTTGCTTATAATAGTTCAGAGAACATCAATTTTGTCAAATTTGTAAAAAAGAAGGGCACCATAAAAAACGATATATCTTAGTCAGAGACGTAGAGAGAAAACTGAGATCCGGAGACTATATATTATGCAAGCTCCCTGATGCATCAATATGTTGCTGGGATGAAAGTCCTTGAGCGAATAGAAATATATATCGATACGGGTTAAGTAGTGTCGACTATAGAGAGAATCTAGTGTACAAGTGAAGAGTCACAACGGCGTGAGTGATCAAAGTTCCTTTATATGAAGACAGACCGTGTTATGTCCTGGCGGTGAATTGGATTGGCTCCACTCTTTAAACGTCCTCAATCTCTGATTTTCTCAGTCATTGTGGTATCAACTAATGCGAGTAGAACAAGAGAGAGTCCGTTTTTGAGTTCAAAAGGTTAAGTGCAGAGGGACTTAGCGGCACTAGGTTGGTTTCTTTCGGAGTAATCTTACGAAAAGAATAAAAAAAGTAGAGCTCGTTTATATTCCCTCGAGTCGAGAACAAGTAAAAAACTTTATAAAACAAATAGGAAGAACTTGGTTGCCAACCGTCGTGCGGTATAACTAACATTCGCTAATTGTATAATAAAAAAAACTTTACCTAAATTTAAAATTTGTATCAAATTCCCTCGAGAGCTATATAATGAATCAAGGTTTTAATATGATTGCATTATGTCTTCACTTGTCATTTTGTATTTTTTATGTGCTTATTTTTTTTCAATCCACCTTTTTCGTAACCGCAACTCACCGTATTCTCATAAAATTGTCCATGTAAGTCTGGCTTCGTGCCGCAGCGTGAGTATGATATCCGAAATGAGAAGAACGTTTTGCCCGTCGACGGCGGCACATAAACGCAACGCGGGTCGCTGTGTTGTCCTGTGGCGAATATAATTAATGGATGTCAGTTAATAATTAAAAAATAAAAAAAATTACAAGGTATTACAAGCAAAAAAAAAAAAAACAAAAAACAAAAATTAAATGAGTACCTTTTGAGCTGACGATGCCCTCGAATGGATGAGAAAATGTCAAATGTACATCCATATGATCCTTACCGCACATCACTTCTAAAGAGACTATGTTTGGCATTCCCTCCGGCCGTTCCATGGGCCACAATTCATTACCAGCTAAGACTAAACTAAACTGAAAGGAGATGGCGAACAAAAAAAATAATATTAAATGTAAGACATCAATGCAGGTGTATGTAAATGAATAGGCGGTTGTTGATAGGAGGGTAAGTAACATCATTTAAATATATGTTAATGCTGCAAAAAAAATCACAAAAGCAACAACAGCAAAAAATATGTTTGTATAATTTTAATTAATATTATTCGCACGACTGCCGGCGCGGTAAGCCAAGACACACACATAGCCATATGTGTGTATGCACGCGCAGAGTTGCCTCGGGAATACTCAACCCACTGGCATTCCGGCATACCAACATTCAGGCATTTAGACGCGCCCGCATTGTCTTTGTGTCAGCTTAAGTTCGCGCTGTATTCGCCGCGGTTGGCGGCGCGTCGGACGGCCACGCGGGTTGCCGCGCCTGGGCCGCCAGAGTGCCGCGCCGCGCATGAATGAGTGTTAACTGACTGCCGTGCGAGTGAATGAATGAATTAGTGAGTAAGTGAGTGAGCCAGTGTGTATGTGTGAGTGCGCGTGCAATTCTTAGTGAATGTGGCAACTGTGTCTTGACCCAATTTCGCGTGCTACCTACCGCTTGCAACGCGCTCGATGCAACATTTTTGCTGCCTGATTATAAATTAAAATAATATTATGCGCGTGTAAAAGTACACGTTTGCAAAGCAGCAAAAAAAACAAGAAAATCTGCAAGCAAATAAATGAGAAAAATCTTGGACAGGAAAATGGGGGAAAATGGTTTGGAAAAAAGTTACTCGGTTTTTTCTTCGCTTGTATGCAGTTCGCTCTTAGCAGCTTCTTGACTTACTTCTGAGTTTCTACTTGCTTCTGTTTTTTTTTGCGCGCGCACTAACAACTCGCTACTTACTACTCGTCTACTACTCGTCGCTCTTCAATACACCTTGATACACTTTGGCATGAGGCTGACTGCATGCCGCACAGAGTATGTGCTTGTTTAATTCATTTATAATTGCAAATGCAATTTTCATGTCAGATAGTCCAAAAGATCGCAGATAACCTCTGCAATGTCGGCTTGGCACTCGTACTTTGTATTGCCGCTCACAGATTATAAATATTTTACAGTCTACTATTTTTGCAATTTTAAGTGGCAGCAGCAGTGTGAAGAGTGATTTCAATTAGTCGATGGGTTGCTAGAAATCATAGTCTAATTTTTACTGTAAACTCTTTTCTTTGAATCAAATTCTTGGAATTGTTCAAGCAGTAGCAAAGAAGAAAAAAATCTAGCTTTCCAAATTAGAAATTTGTTATCTCTTTTAAAATAGTCCAAACTTTGGACTCCTATCTTTGAGCAGACAAATTTCGAGAGTAACGCTGGAATACAGTTTATACTAAATTTGGGTTTCTAACCTATGTACCTACTAAAAAGACAATTTCGAGATGTGTCTAGCTCAGTTTTGAAAAAGTATTAAGAGATACATTCAAAGCTATCTCGGAAAATATTTTGACACCCTTCAAATCTTATCTTAAGGTATTAAATCAACTCTTACTGCTCCATTCTTCTGGGATAGCGACTGTTCACATGCCTAAAACACTAACCAAGGCACTCTGGTTTTCATCGTGAAGTCATCGAAAACTTGTATAATGCAAGTCGTCCATCCATCTTTGTTAATCGATAATAACATCGAAAAGGTTAAAGAAACAATGCATGAAAATCATCGTGTTGACATCAGAGAAATAGCAGTGAATTTCAACAACTCCTATGTATCGACTCAACACATTTTGGTTAATGTTTTGCATATAAAGCGAGTCAATGATAGATTGGTACTAAAATATCCGAATCTTTTGCAAAAATGCGGTCGGGTAGAGAAGAAATGCTTGACAACGTAGCTGAGAACCCAACATTTATCAAACGCATAATTACTACTGACGAGACATGTGTTTATGAATATCACGTCGAAAGTGAGCAGATATCGAAAAAAAAACAAAATTCGCAGAATGCACTGAAATCCAGAGGCTTATAGCAAGTTAAACGTTGCCATGCTCGTACTCTCCAAAAAAGCGCCTATTTTGAAGGCTATTAAAAAGTTTATATTAATATACTTGAAAATTTAGTTTTTTAAGTCTGATTGTATATATAATACGCAACTTGATTAACTTAAAGTCGAAGGAAACAGGTCGTCATATTTATATGACAAGATTACATGAGCTTGGCATCTATCCAATGAACTGTGTCCATCTCGAACTTCTAAGTTAAATCATATTTATATAATCAGCACAGGACTGTCCTCATTTCTTGGTATTTATTTTATGCTGCTACAGCAACTACAACAATATCATCAACTTTTATAAGATAAAGTAGAAGGAAATTTACACATATTTTCCTTCGGCCAAAATGTTCATTGTCTAAAAGTAAAGATTATGCAAATATTTCAATATTTCATATGTACATATGTTTAACTTAGACAAATATCTAGAAGTACATCATACATATGCAGAATATTTGCTGAAAAATAAAGAGCTTCTATTTGTAAACGTAAATATTGAATAACATCAATTAATAGTATGTATGTAGCAATTACAAATTGCTCTTTTGTGCTTGTTGAAGATTGTTAGCCTGAAATATTTATTATTTGTCAGTCATTATAATATTAAGAATTGACTAATAAATGGTTGACAATTATTCTACAATTGCACTTTCAATTTTAATAGGCCTAGTAAAAAGACATCCATTATTTTCCATGAAATATTGTAGATTTAGTAATCTACGAGATGTGTTCAAAGGAAAAGATGAGTTTTGAATTTTTTTAAAAAGTACTTATTTATTCAACAATATCTATTTTGTCTCCTTGAAAGTAATACTAATCGGATATAATACACCTGTGCCAACGCTTTTTCCAATCCTCGAAGCACTTCTGGGATGCGCTTTTCGGTGTGGCCATCAGCTCTTTCTTTGATTCTAACTTGATCGCATCAATTGTGGCAAAACGTTTTCCTTTCATAGTTTCCTTCAGTTTTGGGAATAGGAAAAAGTAGCAGGAAGCCAAATCTGGTGAATACGGTGGTTGATTCATGATTACGGTTTTGTTTTTGGCCAAAAAATCACGAATAAGCATTGATGTGTGGGATGGTGCATTATTGTGATGCAAAACAGAATAAACTTATATCGAATATCGCGCTTTGGCATTAGAAAGACTATATTTTGTACCACAAAAAAAGCTTATCAGACAGTTTGAGCACGGCTGATCAGGAAACTGAAAATGTGAATGTTTCAATAGTCCTGATAATGTTGTAATGTGTGTAAAAGCCAATCAGGCGCAATTTTGGTTTCGTCGATTACTTTCGGATACTTTTGATATCTAATTTTTGAAAATATCGCTATAATAATAGAAATCGTAGAGTACGACTCTACTGTATGTCCTATGTCGATTGAATTAACCAAACCTTAATTGGATTTCGTTTTACTAGATCTATTGTTATATTACGATAAAAACAAATACTATTGCTGATTATCATCTAAGACCTGCGCCTAAAATACCCATTCATTGATTGTACTATAATACGTTGAGACTAGCCTATTTTATTTAACGGGTATATAACAGGTATATAATGGGTATTATTTTTTTAGACGTGAGGATTTCGATGAGGCAATATTTTTTTTCGCAGCGGTCAATGTTATATGATTTATATTCAGTTTGATTTGTCATTTCATAATAAATAGACTTACTGTGGAACAATGTTTGCAAATGGTTTGAAAAAAAGAAAATTTTGATCAGCGATGAAGCTCACTTTTGGTTGAATAGGTACCAAATCGGAGTGATGATTCACTGTTTAGTGTGCTCTATGGGTAGAGGGAATCATTGGTTCGTCTTGTTTTTTTTTTTAATAAAGACGCCCACAAGTGGTTTAAAAATTGGGTCCCTCGGCTGGAGTTTATTCGACTCATCCACAGCGGCGGTCACTCGATCGAATGGCAAACATTTATCTTTATAGTAAAGCTAAGTTCTTGCCAATACATAAAATTATAAAAGTTTGATTTCTTCTTGAAAGCCACTTCTTCAGTTGTCTCTTAATTAAATAAGCAACGTTGAGACAATTTCTCTGAAGGTAGTAGAATTCTTCATTTAAAACAAATCTGATAAGAATATGATAATTTATTCTTGATATTTAGACTATCGCCATAATCTTATCTAGACAACCTGGATGAGAAGATTAGCGCATTTAGCGAGTCGACAAAGGGTATTCTTAAAATGAGCATGAGTTAATTGCTCTAAACAAATGTTTTCTATTTCAAACAAGAAAAAATTTAAATTTCAACTTTCGTTATAGAATTTTTAGAGTTGCCATACACTCGCAATTACCTCTTTATATCTTTATATTATTTCGTGCCTCTCATTAAGGCAGCCGATTTTGATTTAATTATATAAATTTGCTGTCAAATTAAATTCCTTTTGAAGAATCCAACAACTTTTGAAAGGAAGAACCACAAACAAATAAGCAAACCAAGCACAATGTGCATAATAGCTGAGGATATTTTGCCATCTGCGGTACTCCACGTTTTGCCTTTCGCCTTTCGTTGCTGCACCGCGCACTGTCGTCGCCATACACGAGCGCACACGCAGCCGCAATAAATCCACATATGGCAAATGGTATGCGGACAACACAACAGGCAACAGCTGCTGCAACATGCATATGCGCACAACAACAATCGTCACAAAAACAAACAACAACAAGTTGCAGCACAAAATAGCACAAAAAGTAGCAAAGCGTCGTCGAGCGAGAGAGCGCGAATGAGCAACTAAATAATGAAATTGCCAAATTAACATACCCGACACACTTGCCTTGGCCACTTTGCATGTTGGCCAATTTCATGTCAACTTAAATGTTGGCAGCCGGAAATACTGGATGTGTAGCAGCACGCATACCAGCACCTACGTGCATTCATTTCCATATAAGCAGGGGAGAGTGGAGTGCGGAGACATTGCTCATAGGCAGCCGAAGCAACCAAGCAGCCAATGTGGCAAGCATTTAGTCGGCCTGTGTGCGTAAGGCTGTGGCTGTCACATGCGCCGCCAGTCTCAATTCCTGTCGCACTGTGCTTACAATTCACCAGCAACCGCATAGGCAACAACAGCAATAAAATCAGACGCAAACACACACACACACGCACACATGTGGCAGCTAGTGGTGGCGGCAATCAGTAGCAGTGGCAGTGGCAGCGCCGGTGAGCGGTGGCTGAATTAAGCCAATCATTTGCTGGATTTTCAACAGCCTTAGCTTAATTGAACTTGAAGAGTGGCCGGAGTTGCATGCAACTGGCTGGCGACTTTCGCAACGGCAACTTTTTAGTTGTGCGCCTTGGCGTGTATCTATGTGTGTGCTTTTGTAGTAAAAGTAGCAATAGCTCGTGATTATGTTGTGTTGTTGCCATATTTTTGCAGACTTTATTTATACCACTACAAGAATTCTGCATATATATATATATATATATATATTATATCGACATGCATATAGGCATATCACTCGATGGCGTGTGTTTGTGTTGTTGTCACGCTGTGCCTGTTTGTTTGCGGAATTCCACCAGAACTTATTACCATAAAATTGTTGCGCGAAGACTAAGTGGAGCCAGCATGTCTGCCAATTAGTTGTGCTGCACTTTTTTCCTGTTCCTTTCCGGCTGTTTCTCAAGCTCAAGTTTGCGTTCTTACGAGACTCGTATATATGTTTTTATGTGACTACGCATAAAAAAAGCAAAAAAGCTCTATATTACAGCATTACAATTCAAATTGCTTAATAACGGTTCACTTCAAACAAAATTATCGAGTTGACTTGCTGTTTTTGTTTTTTTTGCTAATTTATTGAAAATATAAAGCAATGGGAGAGATAAGAGCCACATTTTCTCAGGAAGTGCTTGTTAGAAGTTAAAGGAAGTAGTACAGCTATGTAAGTGGATATGTTAGAGAGATTTATTCATAAGTAAGATTATAATTAAACACCATATAGTCTTGTTAAGCACATGGAAAATGAAAGAAAAATACGCTTAACTTCATTGATTAGCACAATTAAAAGATAAAGAATTATGAAACGGAACAGGTGTTTAAGCTGCTTAGGTACTGCAGCTCTGGATTAGTATTAAAACCGTATACATATTCAAGTCGGCACCGTAACGTAGATATTAAGAATCTGAGTGAGTGCATGTGATCATTAGCTGATTAAAAAATGCTTTAGAGGAAAACATTTTTGTTACTTAGCTGTAACTACTGGGTATGCTTCAATTGAGAGCACTTTGTTAAGATTACATGTGAAATGGAAAACTACGTTGGTTAGTCAAGAACATTCGAAATTGTTGTGAACTTTATCTGGAACGATCTCGAAAAACATTTGAAAATTTTTATTGTGAAATATAAAAAGAGTACACATTTAAATGCTTGGAAAATAGGCATAACTTATGTTAGTAATCCCTGCCATATAAATAATTATATTATGAATAATAATTTGTATAATATTAAGTTTGAACTAGATCAAATATGCAAATACTTTTTCATGACAAAGTCACTTGCGAAAATAACTTACGGATGTGTTACCTACTCGGTAGTTGGCATAAACCAAATATCTACATATGTTATAATTGTAGTTTTTGCACAAAGATATATAATTTTGCAGAGCCCTTTATTCAGCAACAATTTTGAAGTGCTTTAACAAAAACTTTTCATTATAAAATTTTTTAAAATGCCCCTCACAAATAAAAAAGTTTCCATACAAGAACGTGATTTTGATCGGTTAGTGGGTATGGCAGCCATATGCTTTAGTGTTGCGATCTGAACAATTTCTTTGGAGATTGTGCTGTTGCCTTAGATTATAATAAATGCCAAATTTCGTGAAGATATCTTGTTAAATAAAGAAGTTTTCCATACGAGGATTGGATATTGATTGGTCAGTGGGTATGGCAGCTATATGTTATAGTGGTCCAATGTCGGTGGTTCCGACAATTGCACAACTTTTTGAAGATAAAAATAGGTGCGGAAAGTTGCAGATCGCTACATCAAAAATTGAAGGACTATTTTACGTATATGCGGGCAGACAGACAAACGGACGAACGTACGGATGACTAAACCGACTCAGCTCGTCACGCTGATCATATACATACATACATACAATATATATGTGTATATGTATATATATTATTAATGGTTCTTCTACCTGCCTCTTCTTGTGGCAAATTTAATATACCTTGTTCAGAGTATAAACTGTCAACCAACTCATTCGCAATTTCCATTACTGAGCTTAACAAATGTGAATGCATCATTATATTTAGTAGAAAAACTTGATTTATAAAAAAAAAAATGACTATAAGAAATTATAACGGTAATATGTACATATATAGTATAATAAATGAAATGTACATTTTTATGAGATATTTACTTTACTCACCATTAAATGTAATATAAATATATGACTAAATCTAAGGTCCCACAATCGTGTAGGACCTTTTTGAGGGCTCCACATTTTGGAGCTGTGCGCAATGTCAATGAATCTGAAAATGAGAAGAAGGAAGATGATTTAGTATTAAAACTCGTAAATAGAAGCCTCTTCAAGAGGTCTTTTTAAATCATATTTATGTGTATACATATATTATAGTACAAGTATATCATATATATAAAATTAAATTTCAACAACGACTTTTGCCTTTATGTATTGTACATATTTGTACACTAAAATATGTCTAACTGATAAGAAAAAACCTCAAAAAGGTCTGTTTTTGGTTGAAGAAATAAATATTTACATAATTTATATGATTCTTAACCGATTTAAAGATTGTTAGAAAGTTTGCTCTGATTTTTACACTTAATTGTGTTAACATAAATTTCTCTCATATTGCTAGAGCTTTCTACTAAAACAATTCATCGTTGAAATTATTTGGTGTGTTCTTCTGCATTTTCTGGATGGCAATTTTAGGCTTAGTACCTGATAGTGCTAGTTATTTTCTTCATCTTACGACTTGTCTGTATGTTTAAGCATACTTCTCAGAAGCCAAAGACCTGTTATTGTCAATCCATCTATCCATCTGTTTTGAGCTAGTTGTTCTAATTCAAGTTAAGTTCTCTCCTAATTGTTCCTTACATTTTGCAAGCGTTAATGAATTTAATAAGAAATATCTGACCTTATCCAACTCATTAGCTCGTTCCATGCCAAGCTTGTCGCTATGATAATGACGCCGTCGTCAGTGAGCCTAATACCATACTACATTATTTAACAAACATTAATGTTATTACTGTAATATCCGTATGATAATTATTCAGTAGGGCCATATCTTCCTTTTCTGCCCTCAGTATTCTCTCTTCGAAAATACCGAGTTTGATAAACGAAAATGACGGATAGGACGATTTACCCCTACGCTTATGACCCCTGATTATTTTATCTCCAGTCACGTCTTGAAAAAAACTCCATAAAGCATCTATTGACTATTCAGCCTTGGGAAAGAGAGCGATCAAATTCCTTCTAGCTTCCACATTCTAACTCCTTTGATTAAATTAACACTGTATATAGGCCTATAGGCTTGAAATTTTCGTGTACAGTTCTGGGATTTGGCGTTGAGATGCACGCCTTAAGGCAAACTTTTCAAATTATCATATACAACAGATTACTGTTGTCTATTTCCAAGTGAGAGATCTCGGAAAGAGCACGCTTCAGCAGTTGTATTGTTTATTCGCCAAGGCTATTAGGCACTTACTCTGCAAACATCTGAATTTCCTGCTTCCTTATAAATTCGGCATTACTTACCTTACGGCAATTATGAAATATTTGAGCTTAACTATATCTACACTTGCTCCGAAAAATTACAGAAATGCACTTGACGTTGCATGTTAACACACAAACACACTCGTAGACTTGCAATTATTTAGTCGCATTTATGCAAGTGGCTTTAAGATGCGACTATTATACAGCTAATTTGCCAAACTGACAGCGGAGTAAGCTGCCGGCAGCAGGCAGCAGGCAGAGAATTCTCATTGAGTTTAATGAGTGCATACTTGAGAGCGCTCACTCCTGGCGAAGACCGTGCTTGCCCCCCTCGCGTTGACTTTTCATTGTTGCAGTATTCACCTACTAACCAGCACAGCTACTTAAAGCAATAACAAAATAGTGTTTTTGTACAACAACACGGCATACTTGAAATTGCAACGAATTTTAATGATCTTAACCCACTTTGACGTAAAGTGAGGCAAAGTGAATGAGAAGTTAAGTTAAATAGGAGTTGCTGTTGTTGTTGTAGCAACAGTGGCAGCCAAACAGTTGGGGTTACCAACTAGTGATTATGCGAATGCGAGCAGACGTGTGCAGTGTGACGAAACAACAGTGGCGACTGAGCGGGAGTGAGGCTTAATTTTAGTTTGCTTATGTGTGGGTGTGCTTGTGAGTTGGGCGCACATGCGACATGCCACATTCACTAGGCAAATGAATATGTTAAATTTGATATACAATTTAAAGCGATGCACTTAAATTTTCCACAGCTATAAGCGCATATAAGCGCATGTCACACACACTCACATACATATTCACATTACAGTTAAATACGCTGCACTGCAGTTGAACGTTGCGGAGTAATACAGCTAAATAGCTTGTTGTTGCATGCCACTATTGCCTGCAGCGCAAGCAACAAATTCAAAGCGAAACTACAACAACTAAAACAACAACAATAATAATAATATGTGGCGAACCTATGCACGCATTAATATACACATCTATGTATGTGTGTGTGTAAAAGTATAGTCATGCGGCCAAACATGCGGCACACACTCCAGGCGAGGGTCTCGGTCACTGCCTTTACGTCTGTCTTAAGCCTTTATAATTTTATACCCTGAACAGGGTGTATTAAGTTTGCCAAGATGTTTGTGACAAAGAAACCCAGAAGGACACGCCGGAGACCCTCTAAAATATATATATATATATATATAAATGATTAACTTGAGGAACTGAGTCGATTTAGCCATATTCGTCTGTCTGTCTGTCACAGTTTTTGAGATATCGATCACAAATTTTGTACATGTTTTTTTCGGAATCACCGACAGCTGACCACAATAAGATATATCTGCCATAGAAATCGACCGATAAAAATCAAGTTATTGTATAGAAAACCTTTTTATTTGACAAGATATCCTCCCAAAATTCGACATGGATTATTATCCAGGGTAATGGTATAACTTTTGAAGAAATGGTTGAGATCGGACTACTATAGCATATAGCTGTCATACAAACAGACCGATAAAAATCAAGTTGTTGTATAGAAAACCTTTTTATTTGACAAGATATCTTCAGGAAATTGGGTATGGCCTATTATTCATGATAACAGTAAAATATCCGAAAAAAATTTTCAGATCAGACCACTATAGCATATAACTGCCATACCAACTGAACGATCCAAATGAAATTCTTGTAAGTAAAACTTTTTTATTTGTGAAAGGTATTATAGCTTCGGTGCTTGGACTTGTTTTTTTAGTTTTTGTTTTTTAAAGTATCTAAGTTTGTGTGTGTCTGGCAGCCGCATTCTAAGTGCCAATGTTGACGTTCGCGTTTGCGTTACATTTTGACTGCTTTGAACTTTTTATAGCCGCAGCGCGGCGCGTCGCTCGCATTTCACAGTCGCTTGCCACTTGCCGCATACCACATGCCACACGGCAACTAGTTGCAATTGGCGGCATTATGGTTGCATGCTTGCCACATATATATTCACTGCCACAATTTTTGTTGTTGCCTGCTTGCCACATATATTTGCTGCCACAGTGGTCTTTGCTGCTATTGTTGTTGTTGCTGCCGGCTGTAAGTACTGTGAAATCGCTGCAATTGCTAGCTTGTTGTGGCATAATTTATTGTTGGCAACAATGGTGATCGTTGCGGCTGCCAGGCGATATCCAGTTACCCACGCAATGTGCAAACACACACACGCACATATACATGCATAGATAAATGCAGACGAACGTTAGTGCTCCCCAGTGCACATAGATTTTCGTACACCGTTCTGCTCTGTTATCCACCGCCTGTCTGTGTATGTGTGTATGAGGGCATGAGTTGCAACAACGCCTCGTGGCAGCAATTGTTATTTGACGCTCTGCTCTATACCTATGCATGTTTGTTGTTGTTGTTGGCAGCATGTGGCTCACCGTATTATGTTGCTGATTGATTAAAGTTGATACGCTTTGTTGTGCATGTGGTGCTTGCGCCAACAAAGCAACAGCAACAATTTCAGCATTGTTGATACAGTATTATTGTTGTTGTTGTTGTTACTAGCATTAGCTGGCAGCCGTTGCCAGCACCCATGCCGGCAATGTGCTGCTGTAGGCGTTGGTTGTGGTTGTTATTGTTATTGTTTTTGTCTATTTAATTTTTTCCTCTCTGCTTTTGTTGCTGTTATTAATGCATTCATGCTGGTAATTGTGGCTTACTCCACCGCCACTCAGCTACTTAATGCGCCGTGATTGTTGGCATTTAATTAAGTAATCAAGGCCGCACGCAGTGTTGCCAACACTGGCAGAAATCGGCAAGCCAGCGTTGCGTGTGTGTGTGTGGTTGTAAGTAGCTTTTGTAGTCGGCAGCGTGACTTTGAATTGATAAGCACAATTAAAATGCTGTCAGCTGCTGAAACTTGTAAATAAATTCAGTTTATGTGCATGTGTATGTGTGTGTAGTGGTAGGAAAGGTAAACTCATACGCCCCCGTGGTCAAGCGGTCGTTATTAGCTGATTAGCAGCCTAATTTTTTCGCTAGATTTGTTTTTAATTAGTGGGTGGTTTGTTGCTGATTTGAGCTGTCTCGAGGGAAAGCTTTTCATTAGCGAAGCGTTGGTTACAAAATAGTGCAGAACAGCTTTGTTTGTATGAAATTTTATTAAACGGAGTTTTTTGTTGGTGTGGTTAAGCTTTGTGTATTTCTGTGGCAAAGTTTAACCTAGTTGATTGAAATTGCTTTAATAGAGGCACATTGAAAAGGGTATTAAGTTAAACTGCATTCAAAGCAGTGAAGTCTACCGACTGCGCTAGAAATTAAAATTATAATTATCCACTTTCTCGATTCAGAAGCTGAGATATTAAAAAATATGTGTATAGTACCATAAGCAGAGGCAATTATTTATTGTTAATTCGCAATAAGCACTTTACTCCAATCGCTCAGTTAATATGGCAGCTATATGCTATAGTCATCCGATCTATACAATTTCTTCGGATATTGCATTATTGACTTTACGTCAAATAAAAAAGTTGCTCATACAAGTACTTGATTCCGATTGTTCATATGTTTTGTATGGCAGCTATATGGTTACAAAATTTAATGGACTTTAAAAATCGTTAATTAGTTTAGAAAAATTTTGCATCCTCTTGATCTCCTAACCGATCTCCGGAAACCTTCAAAAAGGGTGTCGGGCGTTGAGAAAGATCTTTATGCTTAAAATTATCCCAAATTCAAAAAGCAAAAAAATGGATTTAAACTATGGATTAATATAGGTAATGATCGAATATGTAGTCAAAATTTTGATTTTTTACTTTC